TGATTTCAAGTGGCAAGGTTAGGAAAAGCCATCATATCAATCCACAGAAAAGGGAGATTTAAATGAAGCCCCTCAACCTTGGTGAGCCCATCCTACTGGTGCAGGAGAACTGATTCAGCTTACTTTCTGGTTCACCGTGGCATGAGATGGAGCTATATTATTGATTTGGAGTGTTAAAAATTGAGTCAGTTAACTTTTGCAAGTCGATAACTTGTTGCTGCTTCTCTTCCCCTCACCTAAACAAGAAGTGCAGAATGTTCGGGTTCCGAAATTGCAGTTGTGCAGCTTATTATGATTTCTTCCAATAAGTCTACAAGAATGGCTTCACCCAGCTCAACACCAATACTCTCAGTCCAGACCTGAAGGTCCAACCATGTTCCTGTCTTAGCCATGTCTTTTCTGACTATCTGGTCTAGAGTTTGAGGCAGCGGCATTGGGAGGAGATGCCAATATAGTCCATTGAAGGCTTCTTGGATAGTGTTGTTCATATTTGGGATAGGCCTGATACTAGGTTTAACAAATGACACCCACGGGGAGCAACCAACGTAGTGCCCACAAACTTCCATGGGAACATTTTGTTCAGCTGTATTTCATGATTTGTTGTTTTCAATTCAAGAACACTTTGTTCCACATTTAAACTGTTGATAATCATAATTAATTATGAACAACCCAAAACAAAGAGATTTGATTAAATTGAACAGCCCACACTAACTGTTAAGTAGTTTGCAAATGTTAAGGTCCCACGTCAAAAAAATATGGGAAGTTAAAGGAATTTATAAAAGTTTATTTGTTATCAACAAACAGATAAATAAAGTGAAGTCTAAGATGAATTGGGTCTTGCCCTTTATATATAGTCAAAGATGGGCACTTGAGGCTTGACTTCCAAAATATTTATTTTTTATTTTCGGATTTTTAATTTAATTTATTAAATTTTAATCTGAAAAAGCATGTTTGCAAAATTGGATAACCTTTGGAAGTCTAAAGTTATCTCTATGAAATAATATCTTTATGGAAAGATACATCTATATAAATAATGGCTTTTTAATCAATATAAATTTTTATGTAAAGTTAAAGTTCTACATCTAATTTTTGAAAGAGTTTGAGTTATGTTCTGTTGTATCTTGAAGGATTTTTAAACTCTTCTGGATTTTTAAATTCTTAAGAAGAGTGAGATTACATCTCAGAACTATCTGTTTTCATTTTGATAATCCTTATCTTTAACACTAACTTCAAGACCAAGTTTTTTTTTTTTCTTTTTGAACAATTTGACATGGGCAGATCGAACCCAACCCAAGGGGAGGGAGGAAGGAGAATGCATCTTTTTTTAATATGATTAATACCATTAAACTCAAAAAGTCAAGTGTTCAAGATCAAATTTTATAGTTGAACATTGCAAAGAATATATATATATATATATAAATTTTTTTTTTTATGGAAAAACTAATTTCTTTTGTCTGGCAAAAATTCAATTTATTCAGGTGGATCAAAAACCTTCTAATTTTTAGTTACAAAGACAGAATGCATAACGCTAAAAGATTAAAAAAAAAAAAAAAACTAGTAAAACAGTGATGCGAAATGAAGTTTTCCATTAAAGCCATAACCGTAGCATCTTACGCTTTGTTAATGGATCATTTAATCATTTAAAAATCATTAATTCAAGAAGAAGAAGTCGTAGAACCTCAGAAAAGGGAATCAAATGGATCACGAAAAGAAATAGACGCGATCATGACCAGTTATTAATTAGATGCTTGTTTCTTTACTAAGCTTATAAACACATTCATCACTATTAACCCCTGAATTGCAAATACTTAAGAAGTCAATTCAATATCATTATCTCTCTTCAATAATTAAGATATTAATCAAATCAAATCAAATAATACTTCATAAGACAGTATAAATATAGTGGGGTTGAAGTTCTCTTCAAATCAATATTACCTCTATCAAACCCTTCTATGCAAGTTTTTGACTTTAAGATATCAATTAAATTATATATCAATCGAATTATATCT